AGCAATTGATTTGTTCGTGTTTGGAGGGAAAAAAAAAAAATTGAATTGGGAAGATTCAAACAAAATTTAAACTTCTTTAAAAATATTAAAAAAGCAGGATAGTGAGAGTATTTTCCATCTTACCTGGTACTTTTATGAAGTGTTAAAAAGTCTTTATCAATTAATACGTTTAGATTTTTAAATATCTAAAAGTTTTTGAAAGTCTAGAAATACACTTTGCTAAGTCAAACTTACTTTTTAATTATTGAACCCCCGTTTGATCTCCATTTTATGGGGATACGTAATTTAAAATAGTGATCTTTTTGGTAATTGGTGTTTATAAAAAGAATTTTGTGGAATTGCCAGAACAAGCTTGCCAGGAAGGGTGACCGCCCCTCACACCGCCGCGGGCCCCGCTTGAATTAAAAATTCTACCCCCCCATGTGCTTGTGTGTGTTCTGTCAAGCCATCTGTCGAACCTTCTGTTGCTGTAGCACGACCCAGTTGTTCACGTCCTGCGTTGCCCCATGCACCAGCATGTTTAGAGAATGGGACCGTCCCTGTACTATAATTTATTGTTATTGTTATATATAAGTTATTAATTATAAATTAGTTAAAATTAATCTCCTTGTATTATGAATTTATTACAACTAAATAATTTGTTACAAGAGACCCCAGCATCTTGATTTCCTTCAAGTACGGATCGCATCATAAACATTAGTTGAGTTGGGCACTTCTTATTGCCAGATTTCAACCATTTAGAATCTCGTGAAAACATGTATAGATGCAACGTTGAAATAAAGAATTAGAAAATAAAATTCACATTTTCATTATGAACTTTTTAGAGATATATTGAACTTGTCGTTATAGTAGATAATTGACATTGTTTCACCTTCTTTCAAGTATCGGAACTCTCAATAACACTTCGCATCATACGTTTTCATGTAGTCTTTAAAATCAATAGTTTCTTTATACTTGGAAATGAGGTAATGCACGACAAGTTTGAGCACTTCAACCTCTTGTCATTCTCTTAGGAAATTTGCTTTTCTAGTGTTCAATTTTTCTCCCTTAGATTTCCTCGAGTAGTGATAAGGACTCCCTCGTCGAGTAGTGGGCGAGAATCAGAAAGTGGTTCGAATATTTAAATAGCCTCAATTTATTCAAGATAATGTTAATTTTTTTTATCAATACATTTATTTGACACCAAGTTTTATTATTGTCCAATTATTATCAATATAAAAGTATATATATGCCAGTGATTTCAGAACTGCATTCCCTAATTAATTAACGAGTTCGGTAGGAATTTATTACCTTTAAAGCAACATAAAACTATAACATTACTGCTTTTCAAGCATCCAAAGTAAATACATACTATAGAACTTCGGAAATTCTCAATGTAAAAACATAGAGCCAAGGCTAATATTTGAATAGGAAAAAGAGCGGATCTGCAGGATCCCAAATGAATTGACTTATTCGAAAAAGACCTTGCTTTTTGGAAGATCTCTCTCCTGTCTGGTACTACATGATTCTTTCATCCTTAAATTATTGTAATTTGAGCTCCTAAGTCCTAATGTAATTATGAAATAAATATATTTTGCCCTTATTTGAAAGTAATTATTAGAAAATTGCTTTTCTCCACACTCATTTTCCATCACACACACTCCTAAAACTCAAACGGCAATGGGATTCTAAGTCTAATGTTATCAAACAACTATCGAGCGACCATTTTACTAGATAATATTTTTTATCATTTAAATATAAAACAATAATTAATACAGACAAAGACTATATGTGTGTGTGTGTGTGTGTATATATATATATATATATATATATATATATTTAATTTCATCACCATCGAAAATAATTAGGTCCTCCTAAGTTATGCATAAATCATTGAAGCAATAATACTACACAGATTAATACACCATTATTACTCAGCCACTACGTTCTTATCTTTTCAATTTTATTTTCCTAGTATAATTGTACACTCAATTCAGTTGATGAAAACCATCCAGAACTTTGTTAAATCGTCACATGGTCTTCACATGTTAAACTTTATCACGTTCTTTTTTCTTTCCAACTTCTATCGGTGCCTGGATGTGCAAGATGTTTCGAAGAGATAACTTAAAAATTTAACAAAGATTTTGACATTTTAGCCATTAAAAAATTGAATGTGCCTCTAATAGTTGAGAAAAAGTTTGCTCATTTTAAAAGGCTACCATACAGGATAGTGTTTTAGCGTCGATTATGCTATATTCCTGTTTGTTGGAGATTAAAATCAAAATTTTAATTTAGGGGGTGTTATCAATCTAGAGTTTGATGAATTTTAAAACTCCATATAAATTGAAGTATCCTCAATTCAGATTTAAATATGATTCATTAAAATATAGGTGTTCTCAATCTAGATTTTTAAAAATACTTATAAATTTAGGTGTCCTCAACATAGATTTTAATAGGTAATTTTGAAATTTAGATATCCTCATAACTGGTTGATTTTAAAAGATTTCATTAAGTAGATAGATTTTGAAGGATTTCAAGGTAAAAATATAAGTATAAAGAATCAGTAACAATTTTAACCCAAACCTAAAAATTTCACAACATTTCTCACCTCTCTCCATATTTGCTTCCCTCTCTCTCCCTCCCCCCGCCCCCCACATCTTCAACAAGATTTTCTTCTTCTTTCTATCTCACATTTCTCTAATGTAAAAAGATCGTGTATGAGAAATTTTCAATTGATGATAATTTATGAAAGATTACTATTTTTTGTTGATTATTGGGTGTGATTTTTTTTTGAACTTATTTTTTCTTATTGAAGCTATATATTGTTTACTATTTTATAGATGTGTTGGAAATTATCATGGTAATTACTGAAAATTATCATGGTAATTTATGATTTCTAGTATACATAATGGAACAACTTCATCTTTCAAGTTCTGTACCCTATTCATTTTTCTTGGGAAGAGTTGTGTGTTTTCTATATATATCTGCAAATCCTAACCAAGACATGTGAGGATGGTATCCCACAATTTTTTCTTTTGTGTCTACATGGTCAATAAGAATTCTGGGGATATGAAATTAATTGCCTTGTGGTCATGTATGTGTACATCTGTGTGTTTGTATCTCACAAGGTTGTGACCTTTTGAATTAATTCATATTGATTACGACTTTGATTATTTAACACAACATATTTTTGTCCTCTCCCACTCTCACATTTTGTTGAATATTGGGTATATTTTTTATTAAAGTTCTGTTATAATATTCAATGTTTAACAAACAATTGAACAATGATTCGATCATTTTCTGTGATTTATTAACATGCATATGTGTAAGAATGAATCGTTAAAGAAGAAGTAAAAATTTGTTGCTTATGTTAAGCATATTTATAAATTTTACCCAGAATCTATAAAATCCATTGAAATCTATAAAATCGGTGCAAATCTTTTAAAATCTACAAAATAGAAATCCATTCAAATCTTATGAAATCTATTAAATTCTATCAAATTTCACACAATCCATGTGAATTTATAAATATTAAGAAATCTATTAAATTTGCTCCCATTTGGCCCCCGTTTTTTCAAATTAAAATAGGATGAATAGTATTTTTTTTTTAAGAATCAGTGGTTGAAAAAGAAAGAAAAATTTTCGGTTTACAAGTAATATTATTTTATGGAAGATTGTATGATTGAAAATAGAAGAGAGAAAAATAAATCTTAATCACATATTTTATAAAAGATCCACAACTTTTATCACACATTTTATCAATTTTTATTAAAATTTACTAAAAATATAATTTTAATCCCATCAAATAGGGACATAGTCTATTTAGAAGCTTCTTGTTGTCAAACCCTCTAACTGATGTGGACGTTGATGGGGGCTTGGCAAGATGGTTTGCGTGGAGTGCATTTAGTGGTATGGTATCGCGTGCACCGTAGAAAGGGAAACTTGAGGAGCCCAAGGACTTTGCTACATATAACTCAAACTTTACATAATAAGTTACATAATGTCATATATCACCCATATGCCTAACTAACAACATTTCATTGATCTTGATCAACCCCCAACATATAGATAAATAATAATAATAGGAAAAAAATAAAAATGTACAGTACTTCAGGATGCCGATGAGTCAGATTCGGGGTGAGGCGGGGTGACAGCTTGCCCCCTCTGTTGCCTCCCTTTATTTATTTATTTTTGCATTTTCAAAATTTTGAGTTATACTATTATTAGAGAATAAAATACAAATTCAAAATAATTTTTAATGGGTGAATCGTCTAAAAATAAAAGTATTTTTATTTTTATTTTTTAACTTTTTCTCTTCACGGGTCTAATTCGGGACGGGGCAAAATGCCATCACTAGCAATACTTAACATGTTTTATGTTAAGTACTGCTAATGATGCTAATGAGTGACCATGACCAATCTTTTAAAAATCGAATTGGCTTGATCGATTCTATCGGGAAAATTAGGAATCGGGACCAAAATCGATTCAGTTAAATTTATAAAACCTCTAATGAAAAACCCACATCGAAACCCGTTAAATCGATCGATTTTTGAAAAACTCGTGACCCATTCCATGTTTAACCGGTTCAACCCATGTAAATGTGTCTATATATATTCTTTTATTTTTAAATGTATATTCTTTTCTAATTTTTTAAAAATCAGCATTTTTGTCCCAGTTCGACCCATATTCAACCTTCTAATCCTTGATCCTTTCTCTTTTTCGAGAAAATGATTGGATCGATTTTTATAATAACGATTATAAAATGAAAAATATAATCTTTATCGATCATTTCAAGTCACAATATTTGATTTTTTTTTTTTTTGGGATTCATAACGATTATATATATTTTTTATTTTTATAATAATGTGACTCAAGCGGGGCTAAATAGGTCACACACGCATTTTAATGGCCATATGTCAAATTAGCACAATTTTAACCTGAAATTAATGACGTTATATACAAGAAAAGTGCGCGTAGGTCGTTAATAGCCAATAGATCTCTTCATAATCTATAGAGGGAGAATGTGGTACCAGCTTTGATTCTCTGAGGTCAAAGCTGGCAGGCGTTGGGTTTTTAAAGCCGTAAGCCTCTTCTTATTCTCCTCTCTCACTCTTAAATTCCCTACAAACCCCTATATAAAATCAAAATAAAGATAGTTTGATGTCATGGTTGATCAGACAAAAATGGCCGCAGCTCCATCTCTTGCTGGTGGAGAAAAGAAGCACTGGTGGCTTACCGATAAAAAGGTACTTCAAACCCCGCAATCATATAATCGGATTGCTTATGCTTAATATTGAATTCATTCACTTTCATTTGTGTTTACACTTGTACTGACCATTTAATTAATGCAGATGGTAGAGAGATATGTGAGGGAGGCGAAAATGTTAATTGCAACGGAAGAGCAAAGCCAGATTACGCCGGCTTTAAGGCTTCTAGAGGCAGCGCTGGCTCTGTCGCCGCGCATGGAGGTGGCGTTACAGCTCAAGGCCCGGTGTTTGCTTTGTCTCAGGCGGTTTAAGGAAGTTGCCGATATGTTACAGGATCACATCCCAAGCCTGCAAATGGTGGCTTCTGATGATGAATCGTCATCCGGGTCGACGGATAACTCGTCCTCTCAGCTTTCGAGAGAGCGAGTCAAGCTTCTTTCTGACTCACTGGGTCGTGATGAGCCGGTGTTTAAGTGCTTTTCTGTCTCGGATTTGAAAAAGAAAGTCATGGCTGGCCTCTGTAAAAATGGCGATAAAAAAGGGGAATGGAGGTAATTTCACCTTTTTCAATCTCTTCCAGTTAAAACAATGGCATGTTGATTACGCGAAACCACTGGTAGCAATTGATGCAATTTACCTAATCCTATCATGATTAAAAGGTCAAAATCTGTTTGCAGCTTGAATTAATTACAATTCTCCAACATCAAATCTTCAATTAATCCTCTTTTTTCGTCTCGAATATTCAACGATTTCACTGGGTTGAGCCATGGAACGGGTTGAAACTGATTAAAATTTTCTTTGCAGGTACTTGGTTTTGGTACAAGCCTGTTGCCATTTAGGCTTAATGGAGGATGCGATGGTGCTCCTTCAGACAGGAAAACGCCTCGCCACCGCCGCATTCCGCCGTGAAAGCGTTTGCTGGTCGGACGACATCTTTTCGTTTAAAAGATTTCCGCTTTCTGGCGATAAAAATCAGGCCCAAACACTCCCTAAATCAGAGAGTGAAAGTGTTTCTCAACTGCTCAGTCACATTAAGCTTCTCATCCGCCGCAATACAGCCGCAATGGCTGCCCTTGATGCCGGGCTCTATTCCGAAGCCATTAGGCATTTCTCTAAAATTGTTGATGGCCGCCGTGGAGTCCCGCAGGGATTCTTGGCCGATTGCTATATGCATCGAGCCTCGGCTTATCAATCCGCGGGTCGGATAGCAGAGGCAATAGCGGACTGTAATCGAACCTTAGCATTGGATCCCTCTCGATTGGAGGCACTTACCATCAGGGCGACCTTATTTGAAACAATAAGATGTTTACCAGACAGTCTTCACGATCTGGAGCACTTGAAACTATTGTACAACTCAGTGTTGCGGGACAGGAAATTTCCTGGACCGGCATGGAAACGTCAAAGTGTTCAGTACAGGGAAATTCCAGGAAAGTTGTGTTCTTTAGCAGCGAAAATCCAACAATTGAAGCAAAGGGTCGCTGCTGGTGAAACTGGGAATGTAGATTATTATGCGTTGATTGGTTTAAGACGGCGTTGTTCGAGATCAGAATTGGAACGGGCACATTTATTGTTGAATCTAAGACACATGCCTGATAAGTCATCCAGTTTCATAGAACGGTGTGAGTTTGCTGATAATAGGGATATCGGAATCACGTGCAGTTTATAAAGGAATACCTTCCAATGAGAGTGAGTGAGTGATCAGATGTTTTTCTCATAAGTTGAACCAAAAAAAGCTTCTAGAAGAATGTGACTAAAACCTAAATCTTGCTCGATTAATTTTTAAAAAAATTATCAAACCACCCTATGAGGTGACATTTACTTGTATGCTTGCCTGTTACAAAGAAAAAGGTGATATTTGTCTTTATTATATTATTCGAGTAACAAGTTGGTCAATAACTTTTAAAATGAACAACTCGAATCTCAATATTTATTAAAATTTGTATAATTAGTCTTCAATAATGAAAACCTTCTAAATCTCTAGAAAACCATCATATAGCCATTGCATTCACACGTTATGAAGATCAATTGTTTCAATTTTATCCATTCAAACGTAACTATATATCCATTTGATAATCTCCACACTCCACCAAAAATGGTTTGTTGCAACACATAAAAGGCAACATTCGATAGTTAAATATTGCTAAAAAAGGGTCTATTGCAACATTTCAATAAGTGAATGTTGCAACTAGTCAATGAAATTGAGTTTTGGTAACATTTTAAAAATAAATGTTGCCAATAATACTTTCCGCAACGTTTTTGAAAAGTTGTGAAAAATTTTATTTTTTACAACGTTTACCTTTTGCAACATTTAAAAAACGTTGCGAAAATGTATTTTTTGCAACGTTTTATAAATGTTGCAAAAGGTAGACTTTTCGCAACATTTTTTAAACGTTGCAAAAAGAAAAACTTTTCGCAACTTTCCAAAAACGTTGCGAACGTTATAAAAGGTAAACTTTTTGCAACGTTTTTTAAATGGTGCAAAAGATAACCTACTAGGCAAGCAGTCCTATAATGGGCCTTTGTTTTGGGATTGTTGGGCCTTTCAATTTAGAAGCCAAAGAGAAAAATGTTGCAGGCCTTAACTCCCAACTCAACTTCACCTCGCCATTCTCCACGCCTCAGTCTCGCACCTCTGCCTCTCGCCGACTTCACCTACCACAACTAGAGGTGGGGAAAACCCAACCTAACTGATGTAGATCGAATCTACAAACACAGAATACGAATAACTCAAGCTGATTGAACGCAGGAAACAAACGTTTTTCTTATTTCATGAACAACCCAAAATGATAGGAGACATTTTTAGAGTCTTAAATATGAAAAGAACAGATAACCTACTAGGCCAGCAGTGCTTTAATGGGCTGGATTACAAAGCGGGAATAGCAAATACGAAAAATAATAAACTACGAAACTTTAAATGCTGTTTTGACCTAATAAATGAATTCAAACGGTCAAAATCCATTATACGTCACGGCAAAGCTGTGAGTTCATCCAGAATCGTAGCGAGCTTACCAGAATGGGGTTATGGGCCCAAAACGGACACCGTATGCAAAAGTTATGCTAATTTCTTCAGACGCCGACCATCTAAGCATTCCATATACGCAAGTGTCTATTCCTCCACACGAACCTCATCACCAACCCACCAAAACCGACCGAACTGAACCAACCCGACGTTTGGGTCGACTTTTGCTTATTTTTTATGTGTGCTCGCCCAAGCCCAGATCCATTAATTTCCTTTTTTTTTGTTCGATTTAGGCCATTCATTTTTGCGAGCAGCCCGTGTCCAAATAAAATTGACCCAACTCCATTTTTTGGTCCAAACAAAATTGTAATTTGAATACCCATTTATAATCCAAAACTCTCAAGTTCAAGCCCAAGCCCGTAATACTGATCCATTATCCCTAAAATTCCCAAATTGAAATCCATTCCATTTTCTCTCTTGCTTGACTTCTCCTTCTTCCACTTCCAGCTCCAGTTCCAGACTTTGGAATCTAGACTTCAACTCTTCCAGTCTTCCAGAGTTATAGTTCCAGTCTTCGAGTTTCTCCCTTGGTTAGTTGGCTACTTGGCTTCACAGTTCGCAGTTTGTTGAAGCGATGGAGGTGCGAAGCCTCGAGGCTTGAGCCCCACTGGACACTATCTCAAACTCCCAATTAGTTCAAACACCGAGTGGCCTCCTTCTGTCAAGTGGCTACTGGTTGGGGCCTGGGCATTTTTGTTGTCGAACCAGTGAGTTTGAGTTTCCCACCCTAGTAGTCTTTTACCATTTACATTTAGGCATTTACTTATTATAATTTTGATGGCTTGATTTTAATTGAGGCATACTATGCAAATTGCATTGCTGATCGTAGATAATCCTTATGGATATTGCTCACTTTTTGATCAGCGAAAATAATGATAAAATTACACTTTCAGTCATCCAACTGTACTCATCTCCCTCAGCTTTTAGTTTACTTTCTGAAATCCATCATATCCTATAGGATTCTGGGTTTAATTTACAATGTCAAACTAAAAAATATACCGTGATTTATTTATAATAGAAAAAGAGGGAAACAAATTTGCATATTTGGCCAGAGCTTCTGAACATATAGATGTTGAAAAAAAATTGTGATTATTTCTATTATAGTTGGATTGTCTAATTACCAAATTTTATTTCCCTAAACCCTAAAATAAAGTATTGATCTCTTTTTAAATTATATACAAAAAAAATTCACAAATTCTCTTAGTAAATTCATGGTTTTCATAGTTATGTTCAATTTATAATTTCCAATGTGACACGAGAGACAAAATATCAGTAGTAATCATTATTTTCTTTAGTAGTTGATTACCTAAAAACATAGTTTCATTTGAGGGAAGATGGGCTTTTAGCTCTATTCCAAGCTTTTAAACTGACATGAATTTTTTTTCTTGTTTTTTTTTTTTTCCTTATAACTTTTAATTGTTACCCTTAGGGCAAATGCCAAAGAATCCTTGTCATCCACATTAGTACTTGAATAACACCTGTACGCAAGTGAAACTCTTTGAGGGTATCCCCGAAAGAAAATTGGAGCATTCAATCATGGATGGCTGAGTACAAATTAAGATCTATTTTTCGGTGTTGCTGAATTTTCTTGCACAAGTCCTAGATTAGTGTGTTTGTTGATCGCATAATGGCGAGCAACCCGATATTCAGATATTCATAGAGGTCCTTAGGCCGACATCGGATTTACCTTCACTATATTTCGGAATGTATAATGAAGTAATCTCGTTTTAATCCTAGGCTTGAAAAATTGATTCTTTTGGAAGACAAGGAATGATTAATTCTAAATCAAGGAATAAGAATGAAACAATTTAAAACTGGTTACGAGGGAATTAAAACAATGTATGGCAAGTTGTTCTAAACTAATACCTGAAATTCTTCGAAGCTCGATGTGCTGAAAGGGAAAGTTTATCAAATGGAATTGTTGGAAGAAAATTATTTTGACGTATTTTGAATAAAAAGGATCGTTCTATGAAAAATTATAGTAATTGTATTTTATTCTAATTATATATATATAAATATGTATAAAAGACGAATTTTGATCTATTGGATATTGAGATTTGGAATTGAGGTGCTTCTCTCTTTTTATATTTTAGCCTCTTGGGAAAGGTCTATTGTAGAGACTTCTATTGAATTTGTGCGCACACGGTGATACAAGGGCAATTCTTGTTCATCTTCTGCTTGATATGATAAAGACAAAGCCTGCAGGAATAGTTGGCGGGCTGACAGCATTTAGTTTTCAGAGGCTTTATGGATGTCAGTCTGATGTTGTTTACAATCGATCTTAATTGTGTGGTGGTATGTTCTTATTTTATCCCTATAATAGTATGATACTCTTAAGTACTAAATAGAGAGTTTTAAAATATACGTTCTTAGAGGAATTCTTCTTCATTGTCATTTGTCAACAGCCTTAATTGTCAAGTGTCAACAGGCTTAATTCCATAGACACGTAGGAAAAGCAAAAGCTTCAATACACCCTAGTAAGTAAATGTCCCCATCTCTCTAGTTATTACCTTGCCGGCAAAATATTGAATTGAATGTCGTCGCCTATTTGCCTATGTTGCCTTGTCGGCTTAATAAATTATATTTTGATTGTCGTTAGAGCAATATCTTTGATTGATTTATTTGGCAAGGTATACATGCAAAGGCATACTTCTTCTTTGCCAAAGGAGAATTGCTTTTAAACCTAAGATATATTGCGTCAATTTTATTCTTTCTACTATTTCACCTTTGTCCTGTTAATATCTGTTAGTTGGAACTTAATCCCGCATGTCTATTTTTTGAATATTGCGATGTTCAGTGTTGGATAGTAGCTTTGCGTATAATGGACAAAAAATGGCTACAATTATCAAGTTTATCATCTAAAATTAGATCTTATGAACCTAGTTACCAAATGAAAATAATTTCAATGTATAATGATCATAAAGATTTACTCGTAGATTTTCAAGACCATATAGCGATGGAGCACAAAATTTTGTTGAACGAGCTCGTAAAAAATGCAATTTAGAAATGATAATATGTCCTTGTGTTAAGTGTAGGAATCTAATGCATCATCATTATGATACAGTCTATGAACATTTGGTTATTAAAGGTATGGATCCTATATTTACTACTTGTGTATTTTATGGAGAGCAGCTAGGTGCATCAAATCAGAATGTTGTAGAAATGCCTGAGTCGAGTAGGATGTTTAAGGATTTCTACACACAACATGATGTAGATCCTGAAAACCATCCTAATGGAAGAGATGAAGAGATTGAAAGTTTAGTTAATGATGCTGAAACTCCTTTATATCCTGATTGTAGGGCATTTACAAAGATGTCAGCTTCGATTACAATATTTAAACATAAAGCTTCATGTGGATTATCAGATAATGGTTTTGATGAACTTATAAATCTTGTTCGAGACATGTTGTCAGATAGAAAATTAACAAATAGACAAAAAAAATTCAGAAAAATATTCCAGCCAAAGTCTTGCGTTATTTTCCTATAATACCAAGACTGAACAGGATGTTTGGAATATATGAGATGTCAACACAACTTCGATGGCACTCAAGTAATAAAAGTTTAGACGGTAAGATTAGGCATCCAGTTGATTCATTGAGTTGGGAAATGATTAATTGAAGGTGACCAGATTTTGCATCCGATCCTCGG